GTGGAGGGCAGTGTCACTGGCCCTCATATGTGGGATCCGAACTGGGGCCCTCTGGCGTCCCAAGCCAGCTCTTAACCAATGCGCCACTCAGCTGGCCCTTAAGCTGTACTTTATATCCCGATGATTATTTCATAACTACCAATTTGTACTTCTTAATCCTTTCCCCTTTTCCACCACCTCCCACTCCCCCTCCGAACTGGCAATCATCAAAATGTACTCTGTATCTATGAGTTTGTTTTTGTTTTGTTTATTTTGTTCTTTAGATTCCACATATAAGTAAAATCATATGTCATTTGACTTTCTCTGTCTTACTCCACTCAGCACAATACTCAATAGGTCCATCCATGATGTTACAGATGGCAAGATTTCATTCTTTTTTATGGCTGAGTAATATTCTGTTGTATATATGTACCACCTCTTCTTCATCCATTTATCCATTGCCTCCATATCTTGACTATTGTAAATAATGCTGCAGTGAACATATGGATGCACATGTCCCTTTGAAAATTACTGGGTCCTTCTTTGTCTCTTATTATAACCTTTGTTTTAAAGTCTATTTTGTCTGGTGTAAATATTGCTACCCAGCTTTGTTAAAAATTTTTTTTTCATTTCCATTTTCATGAAATACTTTTTTCCATCCCTTTACTTACAGTCTTTGTGTGTCTTTTGATCTGGAGTCTCTTGTAGACAGTATATGTAAGGGTCCTGTTTTCTTATTCATTCAGCCACCCTGTCATTTGAGTGCAGCATTAATCCATTTACATTGAAAGTAATTGTTGATATGTAGTTATTGTCATTATTCATATTTTTTATCTTTCTTTTTTTTGTTTGTTTTTTCATCTAAAAGAAGTCCCTCTAAGATTCCTTGTAATTCTAGTTTGGTGGTGAGGAACTGCTTTAGCTTTTACTTGTCTGGGAAGCTCTTTATCTGTCCTTCGATTCTAAATGATATCTTTGCTGGATAATCTTGGTTGTAGGTCCTTACTTTTCTTTTCATCAGTTTGAATATTTCCTGCCAATCCCTTCTGGCCTGCAGAGTTTCTGTTGAGAAATCAAGTGACAACCTTAGGGGAGTTCCCTCGTAGGTAACTGCATTTCTCTTGTTGCTTCTAAGATTCTTTGTCTTTAACCTTTGGCATTTTAATTATGATGTGTCTTGTTGTGGGCCTCTTTGGGTCCATCTTGTTTGGGACTCTGCACTTCCTGGGCTTGTATGTCTAGTTCCTTCACCAGGTTAGGGAAGTTTTCTGTCATTATTTCTTCAAATCGATTTTCAATTCCATGTTCCCTCTCTTCTTCTGGGACCCTTATGGTGCAAATGCTGGTATGCTTGATGTTCCAGAGTCCCCTTCAACTATCCCTATTTTATTGGATTCTTTTTTTCTGTTTGCTGTTCCGATTGGGTATTTTCTGCTACACTATCTTCCAAATCACTGATTTGATCCTCTGCTTCATCTAATCTACTGTTGATTCCTAGTGTATTATTTCAGTTACTGTATTCTTCATTTCTGACTATTTTTTGTTTTCCATCTCCATTTTTGTTTTCTGTCTTTGTTGAAGTTCTCCCTGAGATCATTGAGCATCCTTACAACCAGTGTTTTGAACTCTTGAGTCTGAAAGATTGCTTGTCTCCATTCTGTTTCGTCCTTTTTCTGGAGCTTTGTTCTTTCATTTGGGCCATGTTTCTTTGTCTCCCCATCTTGGCTGCCCCCGTGTTTGTTTCTATGTCTTAGGTAGGGATGAAGTATCTCCCAGTCTTAGTAGAAAGGCCTTATGTAGTAGGTGTCCTGTGAGGCCCAGTGGCACAGTCTCCCTGGTCATCCAACCCGGAAGCTCCAGGTATGTCCTTTGTGTGGGTGTGTGTGCCCTCCTGTTGTAATTGAACCTTGGCTTTTGTTTGCACATCAGTGGGAGGGACTGACCCTCAGGCTGATTGGTTGTGAGGACTGGCCTTGACTAAGGTGTAGGAGCTGTTGTGCAGGGGTTGACACTACAGAGCAGGATTCACTTTAGCAGGGCTCTGGTGCCTGCCCAGTCTCCCTTTTGGGTGTGTTGCCTGGAGGCAGCTGGGTGGTGCTCATGCTGGGTCTGAAGCTGGCCACCAGGCATGCCCCTGGGACCTCCTGGGAGGGGCCCCGCTGCAGCCCAAGTTCAGCCACATTACAAATATTTTTTAAGAGGAAAAATCTTCCAAATGAAGATTCATTTTACAATAATGGTTTATTGAGTAAATATCTATCTATGGATTATGCTTTTTGAAATTTTAGTTTCACTAATTTTTAAAAACGTAGTGGAGGGCCGGCCGAGTGGCACATTGGTTAAGAACTGGCTTGGGATGCCAGAGGGCCCCGGTTTGGATCCCACATATGAGGGCCAGTGACACTGCCCTCTACAGCTAAGATGCTGAACACCAGCTCAACCTGGAGCTGGGCTGCCGTGAGTCGCCGGCGACGGCGTACGCTGCAGTCCCCTGCTGCAGTGGGCTGCCATAAGCTACCATGTGTAACCGGCAGCCAGCGTGAGCGGCCGTCCAGAGGTTGGCGACTGATCTGCCTCACCTAGGAAGAGCGCAATGATGGTGCCAGCTTGGGCCAGTGAAGCAACATTCTCCACAACTAGACTGAAGAACAAAACAACAGCAACTTGTCTGTTCCCCTTCCCCTGATTCCCCAATAAAATCTTTAAAAAATAAAAACGTAATGGAAATATTTCAACAATTTCAAATTAGTTGATGACGTTGGGTTCTTAAACATTTTTTGCACATAATGTTCATAAATGAGAATTTCCTGTGGAAGTTTAATAAATATGAATTCCATTTTACATCATATTTTGTACTTTGTCCAAAGGCCACAGCAGAAGCTAACAATTTAGCGGCCGTGGCAACTGCCAAGGACACATACAACAAAAAAATGGAAGAGGTAAGAATTAAATATTTTAAATGGTTTTAGATAAAATCAGTATTTCTTCCATGAGCTCATTCATTTTTCTTCCAAATTATACTGTATAGAGATGCAAAGAGGTGGCTTTGACTTATTCTTTCTCAGCCTGTGTGTATCACATTTTTATTTATTGTACTCCTAAAATATTTTAAAAACCAAAAAAACATTATGCTCAACTTTAAATGTATTTTATGAGTTATCTCTACTTATAATAGACACATTTTAATTTACTACTTTTTTTTGCCATATTTCCCCATTAATTTATAAGATCTAATGGCTAAAATAACATATGCTACCCTCTCCACTATACCTCCCTACATTACACAATTCCAATATTTCTATCTTAAATAAAAATACCTGTTAGGAAAAAAAGAAATTAAACCTTAATTAGGATACATCTAATAATCATTATGTGATAGGACACCCACTATATCTACTGTGATAGGTCTTTTTTCCCCCTGAAAATGTTATAAAATCAGTGTTACATTCAAAATTGATCAAGTCTTAGAGACAAGGGAAACAGTGGATGGAATGGTGTTTATGCCATAACTGAAGGGTAATTAGAATGATAGTATCCTTTATATAGTTAAATCTCAAATAACCAAAGTAAATGGTATCAGTAACTGAGATTTCCCTTGTAACTTCTGAAAAAAATTGAAAATGTGATCCAAGAACATGTAATGTTTCCATTTAGTCTCTTGAAGAAATACAGAATGGGTTAGTTCCATTTAAACAAAAATCAGTGCAACTGCCAAAGAAAATGTTTTTAAAATTTTTACTTTAGAGCTTTATAGCATTGCTCATTGTTTTAAATTAAACTTCATTGGTCAAAATTACTTCAGTGCAGTAGACAAAATTTCCTAGAGGGACTAGTTTTCTTGAATTTGGATTCATTCTGTGAATGAACTCAGTTTGCAGTTCACTTTGTGGCATGCCTTTTTATCTTGAGAAACTTGAATTAAGTTCTGGATATACATTCCCATGTCAAAAAGAAAATAAAAATTAAGAATGACTTTATATAAGTCACCTATAAAGTACCAGTCCCATTTATAGTCAAACCTGATAGATATGAAGTTTGGAAAGATGTGGGTTGACAAAACATACATGCAGGCTCCTTCTGATTAAGTGAAAATTTTTGATATAGTTGCTGATTTTAATCTGCACTGAATAAACAATACTTCTCCATCTGAAACAGATTTGTGGCGGTGACAAACCATTTCTGGCCCCCAATGACCTGCAGACCAAACATCTGGAGCTTAAGGAAGAATCTGTGAAGCTATTCCGAGGTGTGAAGAAAATGGGTGGGGAGGAATTTAGCCGGCGTTACCTACAGCAGTTGGAGAGTGAAATAGATGAACTTTACATCCAGTATATCAAGCACAATGATAGCAAAAATATCTTCCATGCAGCTCGTACTCCAGCCACACTGTTTGTTGTTATCTTTATTACATATGTGATTGCTGGTGTGACTGGATTCATTGGTTTGGACATCATAGCTAGCCTGTGCAATATGATAATGGGACTGACCCTTATCACACTGTGCACCTGGGCATACATCCGGTACTCTGGAGAATACCGAGAGCTGGGAGCGGTCATAGACCAAGTGGCTGCAGCCTTGTGGGACCAGGTAGGAATACTTTTAATTCTCTTCAATTAAATTCAGTAAACGTTTGAATGCCATCTATGTACCAGACACTATGTAGATGTTGGAAATATACACATGAATATGATTTGGGGCCCAGTTTTCAAGAACTTCAGAATCTATCAAGATGGCCAGATACAAACAACTAACTAGAATACAATATATGAAGTCCTACACAAACTCTTTTCAGTTAACATTTCAGTATTTTTTAAAAATACATGGAATGGGCAGTAATTTTACTTTTTCTTATCCTAAAAGTTAGAGCTGTTAAGAGAGCTGTAAGAAAACACAGTTGAGTATTTAGCTGATTGTGACTCAATTATATGTTAACCTTACTTAATACTTACTACTTATCATTTGACTAGCATTGGCTTTTTTAGGAGCATATACAACCCACTATCATAAGTCGTATCACTGTCTCTTTCAGTATAAATTCCTAAAAGCAATATCTAATTACTTCAAATTATCTCTATCTGAACTAGACATTTATGCCAGGTCACAACATGAGTCCAGGTCAGTCTCTAGATCAGAGGCTTATGGGTCACCTGTCCTTTTTGATCCAATTAACCATAACCTAGGGAGTCAGAATCACCACAGTCCATTGTTCAAATAATTAGGGACCGGGGAGACAATTATACACACACCTAAAACAATAATCAACTCACTATGTCATTCTGGAGGTACCTTCACTTCACTCGTGAAAATTTAGGGGAATTTAGTAAAGCTAAAGTTAACACTCTTTACAAAATTTTGGAGTTAAGACTTTTGCACATTTATGGTCTGAGGTAGCAAGTAATAGCTAAAATTCTCCCAGCATTAAGAGTATACTTATACTCTTTAAAGCAGAATTGTAAGTAATGGATTTATCATGTGCCTTTAAAAACTCTAGAGATAAACTAATGGTAGCACTATGGGAAATTAGTTAAAAACTGGGTTCTGTAAGCCACTATCTCAAATAGCCCCTCAACATCAAGACTGAAGAGGGGTTATCTGACGTAAATCCCAAACCCCTCCTAGAATATGATGCTGAAACCTATAAGGGTATATAATTGGGCTCGTCAAAAGATTCATATAAAATATGTAATCTAAACAGAAAAAATCTATAGTATTTGTTTTTAAATGCTCACAAATTAATACTACAAAGTTGAATATCACTTTATTAATGAAGCAGGATATATACTTTTCTTTTTTCCCTTTTAAACTGCCTTTGCCACAGGGAAGTACAAATGAGGTAAGTTAAATTTTTTAAATTAAGTACTGTGTTTGCTATCTGTTTTATTTGCTCAATGTGTAGAAAATTTCAAAATTCTTAAGCTCCAACACTGTGCTTTTTGCTCTACTGGAGAGTGAAACGAGTAGTTATGAATCTTGAGGAAACTTAACTACTAGAGTATTTAAATGAAGTCACAACCTTTAGAAGTTGTTTTTAACTTTGGTTTTGAGTGCGGTACCTATACATTTGAAGCAGGTTCCAGGCCAGTATGCAGTGTAACTTTCTTGGCATCCCTTGGACCTGCTCTGTAAATTATTACTTCTCTCACCACTCTTCTACTCTGTCACTTTCCACATGTACAAAACTCTATATCTGAGAAAACAATCTGAGCTTCGAGGAAGGAATCATTTGTTACATAAGAAAAATTATCTCTGAAGTCATTTAGGTCATTGTCTTCAGGAAGCAAAACTGATCCTGAGCAACTACAAAGACAGCACATAATTCTTTTCCTGAGTTTCTGCTATTACATGTAACTGGATTATGTCTTCTAATCAAATACCAATGATACATTTAATATTTACAATTCAGTAAGGAATTATTTTATGTAAAATTCAGTAAAACAAATTCACTAAAGTAAAAACAAATTTCATCTTTGTAAATCATAACTTAAGAAAATATCAAAGCTTTTAAGAGAACAGGGTTAAACGCAATGTGTTAGAATCAGAATATAAATATAACAGAACTAAGACAATACCGTGTTGCACCAATATGCATTCATAGTACTGATAATGGTATCAGACTTTAGAAAATCAAAAGGAAGTAGCCATACAGAATAAAAAAGATAAAAACTAATGGAATTTCCTGGGAATCAATGACTATTTAAAGGATATTAAGCTTTTATCTACCTTTTAAAAATACTTTTTACAGACTCCAGAATTATATAAGTTGATCTTTTTTCTTTTTTTTTTAGAAGATTTTTATTGGGGAATTGGGGGATGGGAAACAGACAAGTTGCTGTCCTTTTGTTCTTCAGTCTAGTTGTGGAGGAAGTTGCTTCACTGGCCCAAGTTGGCACCATCATTGCGCTCTTCCCGGACGAGGCAGATCAGTCGCCGGCTTCTGGACGGCCACTCACTGTGGCTGCTGGCAGCTCACGCTGGCTGCTGGCTACATACGGTAGCCCATGGCAACCCACTGCAGCAGGGGTTGCAGCCTCCCACAGCAGCCCAGCTCCAAGCCAAGCCGCCGTTCAGCATCTTAGCTGCAGAGGGCAGTGTCACTGGCCCTCATATGTGGGATCCAAATCGGGGTCCTCTGGCGTCCCAAGCCAGCTCTTAACCAATGCGCCACTCGGCCGGCCCTATAAGTTGATCTTAACTGAATGTTCATTATGTGAAAGTCAGAGAAGGGAATGAATTTTAGACACTAGCTACGGGAGAAAAAAAGAACAAAAATATTTATAAACACTAATATTAAGCAATATGTAAAGATTCCTATGATTCAGACACTGTGAAACATAAACAAAGAACAATCACAGAGGGAGTTTTAGTGAGGAAAGGCTTTCTGAGGTAATGTTTCTGAATAAGGTTTTGTAAGATATGAACTAATTAATGGAAATGCAAGGGAACATTTAAGTGAGGGATCCCAGAGTGGCAGGGGGGAGGGGACATTTGCTTATTTGCATGACGATATCAGGAAATAATGGGGAAAAAAGTGATCCCATTCTAAAAAACCTAAAAGGAAGCCTGATAGCAAGTAGTCTAGCTATGTATAATAAAATAGCTACCGGCAGCCAGAAGTTATGAGCTCCTATAATTCCTCTAAAACTGGTAATACTCACAGTACGAGTTTTCTCAACATACCCTTGGGGCATAGTGGTTAGGAAGTTGTACTCCAAGAGGTGTAAAAGGAACTGGAGTGTAAGAGTAAAACATTTACCACAAAGATCGATCCACAAAAGTAATAACATATACACACTGGAGAGTTGAAAATACTTTTGAGTTCTAAGATATCTGTTAATTTATATTCTATGTAGATTAATGATATAGATTTCAAATTGAGCATGCTATATTTTATACCATACCATTAATTAATTACACTAAAAAGGAAAAATTTTACATCTGTATGTTTAATAAAATGTTTTATGATCTGGATTCTTGCGTCTGTCTCTAGGCTTTATACAAGCTTTACAGTGCAGCAGCAACCCACAGACATCTGTATCATCAAGCTTTTCCTGCACCAAAGTCTGAATCTACTGAACAATCAGAAAAGAAGAAAATTTAATCCAAATTTAAAAAAATACAGGTGCATGACCAACTGTCAGCTAAATATTGTTTTATGTCTCCAGCAAACATTCAAGTGCTTCCATCAGAACAGAGTAAAATACCAAACACCTCTGATGACTGCAAACTGGTTTAGTTCGTTTAATTACTTCAGTGTTTAAGATGTATGTATGCATGGTTATATCGTTTTGTTAACATGTAGTTTCCTGATTTTGTCTTGAAATATGCTGTTATAATTTAAAGTATTTGTCTATCTATGATGACAGTACAGGTGTTCTGCTTGAATTTACTAAATTCTACTACTGGGTTATAATTAAACCATGTAGTAATATTACTCCATGTTTGGATATGCTCATTTAATTTCTACAGAATTTTCAATTTTACAGTCATTTTAAAGTATAGTATCATAACCCAAAAGGCTTGATTCAATCTGTATCATCTTACATATACCACGAGCTCTTAATTTGAAAAATATTTAAGAGAGCTTTTCAGTTGCTTTATCAAAAACTATATATTGCTTTTTATATTATGATTTAATATAGAATATAAACTTCTTGATCAAAAATGCACAAAAAATCTCTTTGTATATGTATTTGAGTTTCACTGCATTGTATATTTTTTCATTTGGTACACAAAGAAATGTATTCTTCATAGGTTTATTCTTTTAACATGTGAACTATTATTAAAGTTTACTCCAGTTCCTAAGATTTAAAAACAAATGCTTACTGAATTTGGAAATGTTTGTGAGGTGTTGATATAGAAATGATTAAGGTTTATCTCTTTTTTTAAAATTCAAAATGCATTTTAATGTTGATCCCATTACATTAGATTTCCATTTTAAGAAATGAATGCTAATCCCTTTTAGGTACTCTCCACTTCTTTTAAACCAATGATTCTATATTGTCTTTCTAATTACTAAAATCTAGTGGAATTTCATTGAGTATACCTTTTAGAGAAAAAAAAAAAGTGACGTAATGAAAAAACAAAAGTAATGCCTCTTGTCTGGGAGATCCAAAATAGTTTCTAACTTTCTTAGACATGTCTAAGACTTAATAAAACAGTAATACAAAGCAAGTAGTAACGGGAAAGAATAAGATAGAAGAATGTATGAGAATTCATAAGATATGTAAGCTTAAACCTTCGAAAAGTTTGATCAATGCCTTGCAAAATAACTTTTTCCTCTGATAAAATTCCACTAGCTT